GTACCATCCCTGGACAGGAAGCTAAACTTACAACTGTGGCATAAATGCATTAATAAGCATTACATTACAATAATAAACAACATGAACAATAAATGCAATACATAAAACAAATCAAATGCTATCAAATACAAATCAAATACACATTTAAAAACAAAATGGACCATGGTCTTATACTATTTACAATTATTTACATTATGTACTATGGCAATAGTAATGAGCTAACCTGTCGTAATGAACGACTTTAGGTTTAGAGTTCGAAGACTTACGAATCCGAACCACGACGTCATTCAGCCTGTTTAGGACTGTGTACGGCCCATCCCAAGGTGACTGTAATTTCGGACAAAGTCTTCCGTCGAGTCGGATTCCACAACCACACCTTGTCTCCTTTGTTGGATCTATGTCTAGTAGCTCATGTGTCGCATCTGGTCTTCATTTTCTCCGTCGCCAAGTTGACTCGCTTTCGTGCAGAACGATGCATCCTCTCAAACCGGGCCGGGCATCTTGGATGTGTTCCTCCGGCGATGAAGGCGCATCGTGGGCGACTAAACAGGCGGTCACAAGGCAGACGAAGGTCTTGACCGAAGAGCTTCTCAGATGGAGAATAGCTGGTAGTCTTGCGTTTCTTTTCGACCCTGGTATGATTTCGGCAGCTTCCCGAGCTCGATCTTTCGGACAAGGCGTCGACATTTCCAGGCGAGGATCAATTTTGAGCATGGATAGTCATGCCATCAGATGCTGAAAGCAGCTTATTGTTTTTGAAATCTAAGGAAAAATTGTATTTCCTTAAAAAGTCCAATCCGAGTATGCATGGATCTGTAATATCCGCCACATATGCCGTGTGATGGTAGGCGGCATTTCCAACGTGATGTTTTACGTTTTAACTTCCAGTTATGTCGATCTTGTCACCAGACGCAGTCTGAAGGGTAACAGAGGATGGCGTCCAAATAAGTTTATCTTTAAACTGTTCAGCTAAATCTTTCCTAATGATGGTAACATTAGCTCCTGTGTCAACGATTCATATTGCAAGGAACTCCATCGATATTCCCATTGATGGACAGTCCGTTATTGTTGCCACTCACTATAGAGACTTAAGCGCTTTAAAAACAGGGTTTTTCATTATCTGGCAACCTCCGTTCCTTGATATGGTCATTAATTTGTTTCCTCCTGCGTCGTTGCTCAGAAATGTCTCAATTTTCGTACCCTGGGGTGTTCTGCAATTCCTTTCGCACGTGGCCTTCTGTTCCACAGTTCCAGCACTTTGGTTTCTTGTCAGTCCTTTTCCTTCCCATGGCATTTAATTGTCTGTTTAAATCGTATGCCTTATTTTCCGTGCTCTGGGGAGTTCTGCAGTTCCTTCTTAGGTGGCTTCAACACCGCAATTCCAGCACTTTAGGGTCGGTTTTCGTTTCACCACTATTCCGTCTTAAAGCATTCACTGGTCTTGTCAATTCATTCCGTTTTATTATCCGTGCCCTTGGGGTGTTCTGCAATGCCGTCGTAGGTGACCTTCAGAACCACATCTCCAACATCTTATTACAGCCACTTTGTTCTCACTGCTACTCCGCTATCAAAGCGTCGACTTGTCTGGATAAATCATCTAAACGAGCCATCAATTGGGGACAATTGATGGCTGGTCGTGGACTGTGGACAACCTGGGTTGTGGACTCGCACAGCTCTGACTGGGTTCTCCGAGTCTGCGAGTCTCTAAGAGTCTCTCCGAGTTGCTTGCTGGGCTGCCTCCAATTTCACGGCGTACAACAGAGCGCTTTTTACATCCTTTACATCTGCCATTCGTATTTCCTTCTGTATTTCCGGATCCCGGATTCCATCGATGAAATATTGCAGGGACAGGATTTCCCTTGTTTCTGTCGGGCACTCCGAAAAGGCGTGATGTGACAGCCTTTCAACATCCGTGGCCAGCTCCTGAAGTGTTTCGTTAGGCTTCTGTTGACGAGATTTTAATTGGAGCCTGCTGTAGTCTTTTAAACACTTCTCCCCAAAGCGCAACTCCAAGGCGCAGACAGAGCTTCGAAATCTAACCTTTTGTTTTCCGGAAGAGTCTGAAGGATATCCGCTGCGTCTGCTCTCAGAGAAGCGGCCTGATGACAGGCCTTAGCTTGGGAATCCCATCCATTCGCATCCGCCACGATAGAAAAATGTGTCTTATACACCTGCCAGGAGGTCTTCCCATCATATGTGGATAGCTTCAGAGGTGGACGAGCAGGCATTGGTAAGAATTTAAAATTATCACTCCTGCTCCCTGCCGACGCTACGAATTTCTTTAAAGTATTCATTTCTTTGGCAACTGCAGAAACTCTCTCATCAATTTGTTGTTCGATTTGGTGTTGGACGGCACAAACTCTTCCTTCAATTCGTTCCTCCACAGCAGAAACTCTCCCTTCTATATGTTCTTTTACGGAAGAAACTCTTTCTTCTATTTCTTCTTTCACCGAAGAAACTCTTTCTTCAATATGATATTTTACGGAAGAAGCATTTTCTTCAATATGTCCAACTTTATTTTCAACTGCGTCAATTCTGCTTTCCATAGCTTCAAATTCATTTTCGATTATGCAAGTAATTTCTCTTTTCATTTCTTCTTGACCAGCTTGAACGGCTTTCATTTCGTCCTTAACGGATTCCTGGCCAATTTCATTTCTTCCTTAACGGATTCCTGGCCCAATTTCATTTCCTCTTTAATTTCTTCTTTAAATGAGGCAAAGGCTGATATTAACTGCCTTAATTGCTCTTCCATCGCTCTTGTTATTGGCATTCAAATCCCACTTCTGACACCAAAAATTGTTGCGTGCGTACGGGTTCGTTATGAAATGAATGCACAAGTCCGATGAAAAGTGAACAAAAATTTATTATTATTACAACAAAAATGTTTAAATTTTCTCAAATTATCATGCAGTATTACAATATCTCACAGTAGTTATCTTTTAACTACTCAAATGTACAATAGAACGTAATTCAAAACTGCTAAAGAACGCTAATCCGCGAATTCGCTGTAATCAACAACAGCAGTTTTCTAAACAACAACAAACTAAGCAACTGATACAAACTGAGATGTTTTCCTCCTTTTATAAGATTTTAAAATCACGCGCTAGAATTTTCCAGTACTTTCTCGAAATCAAAAAGAGATATTTATTTATTTGCACGCGCTCTTGTATTTTCAATTTTCCGGCTTAGCTTTCTTTTAATATTCGTCACGCGCTGCACTGCGCGAGAAAGAAAACCATTTAATTTATAATTGAACTAACATTAGCTTTTTAAATACCAAATTCGTAACATTACGTTAGAAATAAAATGATATAACAAAACGTAACCAACGTGCCTGAATGCTTAAAACATTATACGATCTGGCAACTGTTAATAAAATTTTAAAAGTAACTTTTTCAAAAAGGCTTATTTTACACTTAATTTCATTTACAAATTTCTATTTAATATAAAAAGAGTTTCCGCCATTCATTAGAAACATCCTTTTAAAATAATGTTAACCGAAAGTAATGCTATTTGCCATTTTTACTTCAGTTTTATATCTCTTCATTCCATTAAATAGCATCTAAGTGTTTTAAAGGTAATTTGCAACAGCAATAAAAAAAAATTAAAAAGTACAACTTACCGCACTGATGTTTTACATTAAAAAGAAATATGGGCTTCCGTTCTTGATTAAGCGAAGTAAAAAAATAATGGTGTCAACAGAAGAGAAATTAAATCTTTTCCCATTGGTGTTGCATAGAATACGTACTCAAGTACTGAATGGAAAACTGCCTGGGTATTATAGTGATTTTTCTCATATGTAAAGCAAATATAAGGAGTATTGCTTAGAACAGCATTCATGTTGACATTTCGCCCTTAGCTAGGTAGCTCTTCGATTCATTTTATTAATTAAATAATCAGGTATTCTACGTAGTAAGAAGTGGAGAAGTCCAAACTCAGTGTTTAAAGATTGTAAGTAAGCTTAGCAATTTTGTTACACAAAAATTGTTGCATTCTTAGAAAGCAATACTAGGGAGGTGAGGTTTTAGTATGTCAGATGAAACATATCTCATTAGTTCGTTAAACAAAATAAGCAAACAAGGACAAATTACGGTATAAACCATATCAAAATATTGAATTTTTACTAGGGAAATAAACAATGCGCTTGAAAATCGTTTTTTGGGTGTTACGTGTTAACTCAACCACCTTAGTAGAAGTCGCCAAATTTTCAGAATGGTGCCAAACGCTGGCAACCATGCACATGAAAATTCGTCTGGCAACCATGCTCATAGCAATCCTTCAGTCAAGGACTCCGTCATTTTCGAATGTTATCTTTTTTGTTGTATTCGAAGTTCCAGCGGTTTTTATAAACAATCGTGATACTTTTATCTTAGTTTTAAAATACGAGTTTGTGGAATTTGCCAGCAATCGCGGAAACTACGGTAAAATTTTTTCAGGAATACAGAATTTTGCAGAAAACTTCTAAAGGGAATAACGAGGAAATGCGTTTCCTGTGCAGTCACCGTTGCCTAGGGTTGCACGATGTCGAGCCTCCGCAATTCACTGATTTTTTATAGCAAAGACAAGTTGCTGTGTACTTTAGGAGATGAACGGCGCACAAGAATTACAGGAAGATTTGAAGAAGAATATGTTTTATTTTCATTATGTATCAGGAAATCCTTATTAAATAATTCTAATTTGTATTTCAATTGCTAAAGTATATTTTCTTTTCATATGTTGACAATGCTTACCGAATTGCGACAAATATAGATAGTTTGAAAATTTTCTAAAAAAGGCACGAATACCGCAAAGTTGCAACCGATCAGAAACTTTTACCATTTCATATGTTATAAAAAATCGCCAAATTAAGGGAAGGTGGTTGCGTTAATACATAAGTACGTTTTGCGATATTAAATGTGCTTTATATTAGAGTTATGTATTTTTCATTGCATTCCCTATCGCACTGAAGTTTTGCGTATATTATAAAATTTAATAATAATTATCCCGATTCTTTATTCCAGGAGTACCAGAGGAGCCAAGAAATTGCGAAGTTAGCAACAGAACATCTGACTGCATTTCACTATTGTGTGAAAGTGGGGAAGATGGAGGTCTTCAACAAATTTTCCAGCTTGAAGTCATGAGCACAGACTCGGATAAATTTCTAGCCAATCTAACATCGCGTTCTTCACCTGCATTCGTCGTTTGTTCCCTTCCACCTAAAGAATCTTTGATACTCGTCGTATATGCGATTAACAGCAAAGGGAGAAGTAAACAAGTTGCTATACATTCCAGTACACTTGCCGGAACTTCGGATGAGGGAGGTAAGAAATAACTAAAATTTCAAGTAACGTAAACTTCGTTAACAGTAAACCTTGAAAAATGATTTAAAAGAATTCGAATGTTTCTGAACGCTTTATAGGTAAGTAATGCATAATTGTAAACGGACGTGATTAATTTTTATATGGCAGCACAAGATGTTATTAGTCGAAAGTACTTTACCCCGAAAGGTCTCCAAACGGCATTTTGGCTTCGACTCACTAAAAGCGTTAAACTTAACTAAAAGGCGACACTCTCCCTTAATTTGGCTACTGTTATTTGATAATGAATTGTTTTGTTCCCCTTTCCAAGTCAAGTAATTAAAGTCAATAACAATGGCTACCTTTTTAGCACTTTAAATTTAAATTTTACTTTTAAGAATTAGGTTTAAAATAATATTTCTGTTCAGCGTATTCAAATTATTTTTATTACAATAGTAATCTAACTTACTTACGAAATTATCTAAATTATTTAAAATATTGACTCAAATGTATTCCAATAATTCATCGCATTAATTAAATTTATGTTTTTTGGGGATAATATACAAAAATATTTTCTAGTAATAAGTTATATATATATTTAAAAACAATTAAAAGATCAATGCTTTAAGACTTTCTTTGTTATGTGCATAGACAATTAATGATTACGTTTAATTTGTGTGAACCATCTGTAATTTGACTATGCATATCAAAAGTCAAATTATATATATTCAAAAGGCAATCTATATTTTATTTGCCTTTCCTAATTATTTAAGAAAATCGCTATGTTTTTGCACCTACATTTGTAAAATGCACCATACACATGTTTAAAATTAAACTGAGACTTCAATGAAAATTTTAATGAAACAGAAACAACATGCAAAGCTGTCCAATGCTATATAGCTTACACGATGCTGTTCAGAATTTTAAAATTATTAAAATGGTCTTGTCCTAAAAATCTGGAATAAAATATTTCTTTTGAAAATTTTAAAACATTTAAATAATTTCGAAAATGGATCTGTTTATAAAAATACAGCTGTGAAAAAATTAATATAGTATGTATAGGAATGACAATTTTTTAATTAATTTTTAATTATTTTATTTAAAATTATTAACAGTTATTAACTCTGTTACAGCAGAATTTCGTGCAAATGAGAATATGCATAAAAAGCTAAAAAACTCCCTTTATTCATTACAGTATAAAATGATGCATATCAGTTAAATATTTATTTCGAAAATTTTAAATACATTGGCTAAAACTAAATAATAAATTCCAGGGAGCAATGGCCATATCTGTAGTTCCCAAATTCATTTCCTGGTCGCTTTAGTCAGGAATACATTCACGCATTTCTTGAGTAACATTAAGATTTAACAAATATTCAAATTCAGGGTAATACTGCTTTCACAATGAAGCTAGATGTGGAAATTACCCCAAAAGGCGAATTCCATTCCACGGCCGAATGACAGTTAGTGGTTCGATTCACTAAGAGCTCTCATGGATATTACTTATCTGCTGCTGGAAAGTAGACGCCATATAAAATGTGCAAGGAAAATCGTCTCGTAAAGTAATAGTGCCGCCTTTGCTTTTAAATTTCAGATATAAAATTCGAAGGCGATAACGTATTATACCGTCTTTATCGATCCTAAGAAAGTTTTGGCCACGTTAGAAAGAACCAAAAGTTGTTTTCGATGTTAAATAAACCTCAGATTCAATATGCGGTTCTTTTAAAATATTTATCAACTCAAAATTTTGGCACTTCATTTTCAAAGTTTTCACGAAAACGAACGGATGTATTTCTAATTAAACACTTTTTAGTTCTAATGTTTAACATCTACTTTGGACACTAAAAAGTATCCCCTATAAAATCAAAGTTTTGGTATTCACAAATAGATTAGAAATTATTGCTTGTCATGAGATTATTATTAATGATCAGTCTTTCTTGTATCGTATGTATTCTATAATAAGTTGTAAAACACTTTTAAATGTTATTTGAAACATTTGGATTTTTCAATAGTTAAATCATTTTCCTTTATTTTTTCGGGATGATTAGTTTATTCTTCTTTAAAGTACAACTAGAAACATCAATAACCTTTCCTTTTTTTAGGAAGACCAGGACCTAAATATCTCATCAATCAGTCTATAAAAACTGAAATCTCAAACCAAGAACCCAGTCATATTACCTTATAGTTCAACCTTTAATAACACAATATAAAATGCTATTTGTAAATCCATAGAATATTTTAAGGATTCATTACCAATAAGCTCTGCAACCGATATTAAATTTTATTGAATGACATTATCAATAATCTCACTAGACTTATTTAACATATGCTCGAGGTGTTCATTTTTGAAACGCTGTCGGCATCTAGTATGGTATGAAAATTTTTTGACTAACATATGTGTCAGGTTACCATGACCAACAGGAACCACCACTTCAATGAAGGTGTTTCGAAGGTTCTGAAACTTAGTGGCGATCAGAGGACTATAAGCAATATATCAGGTTGTACGGAAAATAATGCAGGTTTTTGCAATTGTTTATCTTTCCTGTGCATTTTTAGCAACAAAAGTATTTTGAATTAATTGGTTTATATATCATTTTGAAATTTTATTTTCTTTCTATAGTTCTATAATAATCACTTTGTTCCAAAATTATTTTCAAAAATATTTACTAGGTGTTTTTGTTTAGATGTCAAAACGGGATTTTCAGCAAATTTACTTTTATGAGTACAAGCTAGGGCACAGCGCAGCGCAAACGGCTCGAAATGTCAAAGAAATGTGGGATGAGAAACGTGTTAATGTATCAAAAGTTCAACAGTGATACCAAAAGCTTTGTCATTGAGAATTTGACCTAGAAGATCAAGAGCATCGTGGACGCTCTTCAGCTGTTGATGACGATGATTTGAAGACTTTAGTTGAAACAAACCCGTACATAGCTGTTCGAGAGCTTGACGTAAGCAAAACAACGATTTCTGATCACTTAAATCGTACAGGAAAGTCAAAGAAGCTCGATAAGTGGGTGTCTCACGAATTGATCGAAACCAAAAACAAAAAAACAAAAAAAAAAAAAACAAAAAAAAAAAAAAAAAACCGCCGTTTTGAAGTATCATCTGCTCTTCTTCTTCACAACAAAAAAGATCCTTTTCTTGATTGAATTGCTACGTGCGATGAAACGTGGATTCTCTCCAACAACTGGCAACATTCAGCTCAGTGGATGGACCGCGGTCAGACACCACAACACTTTCCAAAGCCAAATTTGCACCAAAAGAAAATTATAAAGACTGTTTGGTGGTCTGAGGCCGGTCTCATCGACCACAGCTTCGTAAATCTGGGCGAAACGATTACGGCAGATAAGTACTGTCAGCTAATCAACAAAATGCACCAAAAATTACAACGCATGTGCTCGGCATTGGTCAACAGAAAGCGGCCAGTTCTTCTGCATGACGATGCTCGACCGCACTTTGTGCAACTGACCCTACAGAAAAATTGGACGAATAGGGATATGAGACTCTCCTTCTTCCCCCATATTCGCCTGACCTCTCGCCGACGGAAAACCACTTTTTCAAATATCTGGATAACATTCTGCAGAAGAAATGCTTCAGAAACCAAGACGAGGTCAAAAACGCCTTTGACAACTTTATCGCGTCCAGAATTCTGAAATTTTATTCTACTGGCATAAATAAACTTGTCTCTTGTTGGCATAAATACATTAAGTCGGCTGGTGCTTATTTTTATTAATAAAATTGTTTTTTATTTGAGCTATGATACTTTAAAGATATAGGTTGAAGACCTGCATTATTTTCCGGACAACCTAATACCGGACAAAACTGGGAAGGTAAAATCGCATAACCTGACGTGGTCACCTTATTGACAAATAATCAACTTGTCCTTTGCGCCTTATCCAAAAAGTAACAAATTTTAATTCAAATACTCTACGCAATGGTTTCTATCCTAGTGACAAATTTTGGCCGATATGTTCTTTTAAATATATTCGATAATTATTTTTACAATAGTAAGTTGGTAATTCTTTTGTTAAAAGGAGTATTCCTTCGTTAGCGGCATAAGCAAGATTTCCAAAAGTCCAAGTAATTCTTCTTAATATTGAATTTATGGTTGGCGTAACAACTAAAGTTAATGCATTACATATTAATAAAGTATGTAATAAAATTTATTGATATTTGCTATACTTCAGTATGACAAGATCTGCCATCGATTTCACTTTTCACATTCTTGCCGCCAAATAGTACAACCCAGCATTATATTAAAGAAATTAAATAATGAAGAATCTGCATGGATGTATGCACGTTTCTCGCATTGTGAAAAAGCAATTGTACCTAGAGATATCAAATTTTGAATAACGTAGTTCTTCACTCAAATATGGGTATCTTGAAACCCAGATTTAGGATTTGGAATCTGTTTCATTACCTTGTTTTATTACCTGTAAAATGTTAAAAAAAGTTTGATTAACAAACTCAACGATTTCAAAGCGTTCCATTAACATTACCATCGCCTGCATCTTCTAATACGACCATCGCCTGCATCTTCTAATACGTATATTTTATGCGTCAGGTTCGAAAAACATGATATTTAATAAATAAACGTAGCACACAAAAATGTTAGAAAAATGCCCCTTTGGATGTAATATAAAATTTGAAAGCTTTCAGATTTTATTTTTATTACATAGGTTCAATATATTAATAAAAAATCAGAAAATATTATCGACATATAACAAGAAGAAAATTTGGAATATTATTAACTATTTGAAATTATATTCGCCTTTCATTAATTAATATAATAATTTTAGTGTTTTTTTTTTTTTTTTTTTTTTTTTTTCAAATTTTTTATGATCTAAGAGGAGATACTTGTTCAGTTATTTAAATGGTAATTTTATATTGAAATGCACTGGAAGCATAATAACATAATCTACTCGTATCTATTCCAATAAAAGTGACTTTTAAAAAAATATCGGTTAAATATTGTTACGAATTCGGAACTTAAAAAGCTAATGTTAGTTCAATTATAAATTAAT